TTGATGAACCACAGCCAAAGCAAATGCTCATTCTGCATCACCTGAAAGCTGAAGTCAAGAATTAAAGAAGTGCTTCCTGGTCGAAGTCATGTTCTCCCATGTATTTTTTTTTTGTAAAAAGACAATAATATATTAAGTACTTTTAATCTAGAGCAAAAACCATTGAGAAATTAGTAAGATGTGAAACATTGAGTGGTGGAATTACTTGAGGCTGCTATTGCAAATCAGGATGAAGCCTTGTCACTATATGGGGGATAAGGATCTGGTGACAATTCAGGCCATATTATAGGCCATGGATAGAAACATGAATCAATTGGAAGTACTGTAGTCCTATCAGATTGGAACTGTATACTGTTTGTATAAATGTTGTTATCTATTTGATATGACATCATACCATACACTGTGTTGAGAAATATTACCAGATATTATTAAGGTTTTTCCTTGTATGAACATTTATCAACAACACATTTATTTTCTTTATAAAAATTTGCATTGGACTTTTTGAATTGCATTGTATTGTATTTTACAATGCAATATGAAAAGAAGAAAATAACAGAACAGTACTTGCTGATAAATGATAATGAATACAGCAAAACTTTCATTATTTCTAGTTTCTTTATATTGTTTATGCTGGTTGGCTACATTGATAATATTATATAATTGTAATATTTAACACATGTTTATAAGTGGATTGGATTAAACTCTATATTCAGCTATGTTTAAAGCAGTTCTATGTAGGTATATGCTACAGTGTTTCAATAATATTCATATAAAAGTTCAGATTTTTGTCATAAACTTCTTTCAACCTTGTGTTTACTGTTGTGTAGTTACATGTATATACCTAGTGAGTGATCAGAGAGATAATGAAAGTGCTGGTGGGATGTAACTGGCTGAACTGAGGTATATTAAAGATTTATTTGTTTCACCTTATTGGAATCATGTAATTGCTTTACTTTTATTCATTAATTCAGTCCATATTAACAAGGTCTTCAAGCAGTTAAACAAAAATCAACAGGCATGGCAAGAAATACTGATTAATGTTATTTATTTACATTGCATGCAAATAAAAACATTTGAAATTTTACATCAGCCTCAATGTGTTCTTCATTATTTTTTGAAGTAATTCAGCCTCAGTTTTCTTTTAAAATGTACATTTTTTTAATTATAGAAAAAACGAACAAAAAAAAAAAAAAAAAAAAAAAAAAGCGATTCCAAATAGAATCAAAATATATTATATATTTACAGGAATTTCCTGTCTCATTCAAAGTCAATGAACATTACTTCTTGCCCTTCCTACTATGCATATGTAGGCCTCGATAAGTAATACAATACACATTCAGTAAAGCACGGTCGACTTTGGCTTAAAAAACTACGGTGTGTCAGTCGACAGAAGACGGGAAATGCAATTTACAACCTCTAAAATCTTACAACTATTACCAATGTATATAAAGGCTGGTATACTTATATCATATTGAAATATTCCACTAAAACCGGAGAACTTTCGTCCAAATTGCTACACATTGTCACTTTCCTCGCGACATTGTTTACGTTAGTTACCGAGTTTACAAAAACGTTTGTGATTGGCTAATAGCGTCTCATCAATGCTTAACAGGTATGGTAAGTGTGCTGTGATTGGGTACTGCTTTCGTGAACGACATTATTTTTTTGAAGATAAATTCTCATTTTTGGTTACAGTTTCCCCAAATTTACAATTGCCAACAATTATATTATGTTTCAATAAAATAGTATTGACATTTTTGTGCGAATGCCAAGTAGCGCGGATCGGTGGGTCACAGAATTCGTAAACTAAGCCGATTTTGGAGCCTCAACCCACGGTCTAAAGCCAAACCAGTCACTCATCGCAAAAATCGATTTTGAGTTATTAATACAGTGTTAGAGAGTAAAATAATAGCTATAAAATGGTAAAAAAATCATTCAAATCGGACATTTCCTTATGAAGGTACAAGCGTTTAACCACACAGTTGTTTAAAGAACAATATATGAGAAATTAACCGTCAAAGTTTATGATTTCAGGCATTTCTCATGCAGAAACTATCTTTAAATCCTTAAAAAGTATTGTTTTAACATCGAAAATGGGGAAAATAACAGCATAGAATGATGTGTAGATATATAAAGGTTAGTTTAATGCAATAAAATAGATTTTTTAATTTGACATTCCAGCATGTTTTGGCCATTTTCTCTGAAACACGATTTGCGACGAGTGACTGGTTTGGCTTGTCTTTGCCACATATGAGAAATCTGGACCCATTTTTCAAAAAGTGGACCCATTTCATGCATAAGTTACATAATTTGGACCCATTTTTAAATATGTGGAGCCATTCTTTAGGGACCAATTTAAAACAAATTGTGCGGGACTGTTCCAATTGTCCTTATAGCTGGCTACGGCATTGGTTGTAAAGGAAATTTGTCTGAGGGTTTTTTTTTTAATGGATTTTAATGCCCTAGCTGATTCTAAGAAATTCTACCTCCAATTGGACCACCTTCATGTTGTCGCTATCGCCTGACGGAGTCTCGTGGAAGTTACGCTATCTGGCAGAGAATCTGACCATATCTGGTCTTCGGACCTGGTAGAGGCCCATACTAAGTTGTTCTTAGAAACGTTTTAGAACGCATTATGCCTGCACAAGTTTTAAAACAGATCCCCTTTTTGATCCAAATAGTCGTGTAAGATATTGCTTGCGGAGATTGGGGCTCTGGGGGTGCTAGGTGGGACCACCACCGCCATAAGTCTAGATCCCATATATTAAACACATACTGTACCTCCTGCTACTACAACAGCCTTTGATCCTGATATCTTTATGCAATGCAAAAGAGATTTTCCACGAAGATTGTAATTAATAAACGCACACGTGATGCCTATCTTCTGTAATCCCAAGAACCACCAGCAATACGCTGGTTCGTTTTTCATAAAAAACGCAACAGTATCATTTTGGTCAAGATACCCAGTGCCTTTTGCAAAATGTGCTACTTTGTTCGACTCGATATCAATTTCTCCGTATGTATAGACACTATTCTGGAACAGAATGCATGGCTTGTATGGATGGCTGTCAGCGTTTTGTAGAAATAGATCAACCAAAGTCAAGCCATTTTTTTCGCAATTGAGAGCAAACTTTTTAATTGCTAGGCCTATACGTATCCATCTAACGTCATTCAACAATGCACTGCCATACTTCCTTTGCAAGTAAAGAGCAATAGCAGCTGTCCCTCCAAGACCGATCAATTTAGCTTGCGATTTATCCATTATTAGTAGTAGATTTGTTGTTCCTCAAACAATGCTCAAACGATGCTGACCTTCGTTCAGAGTTTGATAAAAAGAGCAAACAACACGCCCACTTCACAGCAGAAGCTCAATACATAGGTTATATGTTGCACAGGTTTTATTTAAACTCAGAGAGGTAACTGAACTGCTGAACTTAAATACAGTATAAACGAACGTATGAAAATATAATAATTACATATTAGAAAGTTACGAATATATAACTAGAATACCGTAAAACCTCGAATAGAAGCCCAATGGGCTTAATCTCCAGAAGAAGCCCATCTCGAATTGAAGTACCCCATTTTAGTTTGCAAAGTAGCCTCGAGAAGAATCCTAGGCCTATCTCGAAAAGACATTCCCATGGGCTTCGTGTAATGTGCTTTGCGTGTAATAGGCCTAGGCCTTTTTCACGCTGCGGTAGACATCTTCGATCGATGACAAACAATGCTGAGCAGCGAAGTGTAACCAACAGAAATAACAGCGTTTCAGCCATATTTTCGGATGTCATGTTACTAAAAAAATCATATATCCTTAACGGAAGGTCATGTCAACATATTTTTTTCTTTAAAACATTCGCAAAGGATATATCTACGTACCGTATGAACTAAAAAAATTGTTTAGTCTGTCAAAACCTAACTAGAAAATAGAAGACCGATTTTGTATAGTGCATGTTGCTATTATTTCAATTAAGTTTTGACAGACTAAACAAATTTTAATTTTTTTGTTACTCACACAGCAATTAGATATATCCGTTGCGAACATTTTAAAGAAAAATATGTTGATACGACTCTCTGTTAAGGAGTTATGATTCTTAAAGTAACATGACCTCTGAAAATATGGTCGGTACGCTAATGATATCTGGTCGAACAGTGTGAAATAATGGCAATGTATGCGTTAACACTACACAAAATCAGTCTTCCATTTTCCAGTTTAGTTTGACAGACTAAACAAATTTTCAATTTTTTTTTTATTCATACAGTATGTAGATATATCCGTTGCGAACATTTTAAAGAAAAATTATGTTGATACGACCCTCCGTTAGATTTATGATTTTTTTAAGTAACATGACCTCCGAAAATATGGTCGAAACATATTTCTATTGATTACGCTTCGCTGCTCAGTACTGTTTGTCATCGATGTCTACCGCAGCGTGAAAAAGGCCTGTGTTAGCAAAGGGGCGCACACGATGTAGAATTATAGTACCGGGAGCCCAGAAGATTTAATCATGTGAAAAGAGACAAAAGGTTTGATGGTCTGGTCATGGTATTATAGGGCCAAGATACAATATTCAGTATTGCTGCCGGGGCACATCCTGTACAAGCGGGCTGGGGGAAATGAAATAGGGGCTTAAATAATGCACTTAATTATGTGGAGAGAGACATGGATAAAAATAATTGTATATTACTCCCAGGTAGATACTTGCAATAATGTCACAGGTGACAGTAGCTTTTACCTGTACGTGACCTTAAACAGTGACATTAAAAGCCACGCCCAAATACATTTAATCATGTGAAGAGAGAAACGGATGATTTTTTTTTAATTGGCACTATTATACATTGGGGGTAACAAAAATACCAATGACATCAACTTTATCCTGTACATAAGCCCAGACAGCCGCCCCAAGGGACCCACGGGGGTCTTATATAGTAGCAACATGATAAAATCAGGCAAAGAGAGACATGAATGAAACCAACTAGGAATTACTACTTGTACATTGTAGAATGCTGAAACACCGATGACAGCAATTTTTTCATGTACGTGACCCTAAACAGTAACATTAAAGGCCACGCCCAAATACATTTAATCATGTGAAGAGAGACACGGATAATTTTTTTTATTGGTACTATTATACATTGGGGGTAACAAAAATACCAATAACAGCAACTTTATCCTGTACATAAGCCCAGACAGCAGCCCCAAGGGACCCACGGGGGTCTTATATAGTAGCAACATGATAAAATCAAGCAAAGAGAGACATGAATGAAACCAACTAGGAATTACTACTTGTACATTGTAGAATGCTGAAACACCGATGACAGCAATTTTTTCATGTACGTGACCCTAAACAGTGACATTAAAGGCCACGCCCAAATGATATTAATCATGTGAAGAGACACATGGATGGTTTTTTTTTATTGGCACTATTATACATTGGGGGTAACATAAATATCAATTTCTTTGCAGATACGAAACGCTGCACCCCACATATTTAGGTACCTCACAACTCACAAGCAGCCGTGATCATCCTAACCCAAGCACAGAACAAGTAAACAATTCAAAAGAAGCATGGGCAAAGCTTGTAAACATGAGTAAATAATGCAACAATAAAAATAAGAATAAAAATGGGATAATTAGTTAAAGAGATGAGTCTTTAAGTTAGACCTAAATACAGCCACAGATGGTGAAGATCGAATGTGCACTGGAAGGTTATTCCATAAGAGTGTATCTAACTTTTGACAGCAGCCTCTTCTGGGTTACAGATGTAACAGCATTAT